CCTAACAATCAACCGATTTCTACTGCGGTTTCTGAGTCGTATACTGCTACGTTGAAACTTATAAAAATCATAACTTCCTCTTACGTAGTCAGATTGGGTCGTTCTCTATATATACGCTCTCGGTTTAACTACTATTATGACTTTCGTTTAGATTACTAAGACTAATAATCGTCCTAACTCCGATTTGCTATTTACGATATCGCAGTCGTGCCAGTTTGAACGTGAAACTTCAACGGGTCATAATTCATCCATTATAAGTCCGTTTTGAGTGCTCCTTATACCAACGAAATCCTTATTACGACTAATTCGTCTCACTCATAGGCTATTCATCCTAATCTTTAATCTATTTAGACGCGAATTCTATCCCTAATTTATTATGTAGCTATAAACACACAATGTATATATATATATATATATATATATATATATATATATATATATATATATACAAATACCACATAATAATCAAATAACCCTCTTTTATTAACCTCAAAATATTACAATTATTAACCCAAACCACTTCGTCATCTTTATTAATATCTAGTGGTAAACGCGGGTGTTACATGGAATGAGCATTTCGAAGGATACTTAATGAGTTGGCCCAACAGATATGGAGTCCGGAATTGTTTCCGGGACAACCCATTTTGGATAAAAAAGTTATTTTGCAAAAAACAATTTAAATAAGTTTTTTTTTTAAATACACCAAAAATGGTTATATTCCTCAATTTTCCATAAAAACAATTCAACAAAAAGATATAAATCCAAATTATTAAAGTCCATAATAATAAGGTTAGGCGGAGTGGAGTCGCTAAAGCTGCTCGCCATCGGTCGCTACCCATTTGGAACACTGCTCCCTAGCGAGCGCTAGGGATACAGACGTAACAAGATGAGAGAGAAGGTTTGTTTGGCTTGTGATTGAATGAAGGGATTTGACCGGATTGTTCATTCTTTGACTCAATTGAGATGTATAATAAATTATACCAACTTTTTGAATTGAGATGTAATAAATTATTTACCAGCTTTTGAATTAAGATGTAATAAATTACTTACCAACTTACATTAAAAAACGTTTTTAATTAAAAAAAAATATCCAACTACCATTCAACTAATATAAATCAAACCACACAACAATTTACACCCACAAAATATCATATCTATCACAAACTCTCTCAATTCACCAAGGAAACATGTCTTTATCTCAAACAAAGAAAAACCCAAGAACCAACAAAAAGAAATCTTCAAACATTCCATCACTACACCTTCCACCTCCAAACACTTAATCACCAAACATTTCATCACCACCACGTTATCGACCATCATTTGATCAACCAATTCACTCTACCGCTAGCTTCTACTTTCCTACAATAATCCATACCGATCTTCGCCGCCATTTGACCGATCATCTTTGGACGACGAACAATCTTGATTTAAATATGTCACCAGAAGATGAATTGTAAGACTAGTATTCGGAGGAAGACCAGTTGTTTTAGTGTGTTTTAGTTATGAAATGTTTTTTTATGTATCAAGTCGTATTTCTATGTATTAAGTCGTGTCTGTCGGTGTTAAGTCATGTTTGTCATGGTTTGAATTAGTAAATCGTGTTTTTAGGTATTTTAAGTTTTAATTTATTGTAACTTTTTTAATTTAACATGAAATGTTAGTGTTTTAAAAAATATAATTGATATTATATTAATTGTTTGTGGGTTAAAAAAAATAAAATTTGTTTAATATTTATGCACAAAAAATGTGTCTATATTAAAATAAAGTAATTAAATTAAATCAGAAAAAGAAAATAAAAAAAAATAGAGTATTAGGAGTGTTACCACTCCCTACCAAATGCTAAATGGTCAAAAATGAAATGACCCTCGAAAGTCTAACGTGACAAAGTGTTAGGTTTCTTACCACTCTCCTTACCCGATAAGCTTCTTCAAAATGTGAAAATAGAAGCCTTTTGTCAGCAATCATCGTACGATGTCGATCCTCGCTTCGGATCTTGAGTTTGTGGTTGAAAGATAATCAAATATATTCTTTTTAAATAAAAAATTATATAGTTATTTTGGATGAGAAAAACGTGATGTTACACTATTGTACTCAGTAAGTAGTCCTTTTAAAAACATGTATTTTTCCACATTAAAATCATTTAAATAGTCTACTTTAACATTATATTTTAAAAAGATAAATAAATATTTATTAACTAATTGCTAATTACACCTAAATACATACGTTTTTAACAAATATTTGAATTTGAATTTCATACAAAACGAATATCAAGGAGACCCGATTAGGAAAAAGTTAATTTTTAGTTTGGATAATGGAGTTTTCTATTTAAGTTTAACCATAAGATATTAGTATTTAAATGTTGATTGATCTTATTACTTATAGATACGTTTCTTAAATAAAGTTAATTAAAAAACGTAAATACTACATTATGTAATAAAAAATTGAAACGATTTTAGCGTGTGATGTGAGGCTACTGAATAATGGCCACTAAAATATCAGAACAAGCCAAGGAAATAAATTAAAAGTATATATTCACACATGAGACCTCTAACTCACCTAACAACTAGACTCTTATACGAAAACAATAACAATGATTTATTTTATTAGTAAAATCAATAAAATTATATCGTATTTTAGGGAAAATGTAGAAAAAATAGTTTATTATAGGTAATTAATGAAAAAAACATCATACCGATTCCATATTTGACTACCTAAAGTCTCATATTATTTCAATACATACGCTTAAATTTCATATATTGAACGCAAAAAACTTAAATGAACTTAATTTATTATAGACATTTTATAGGAAATTAAACGGTTCTAAAAAAATTCAAACTAATGGATGTAAAATTAATATAATATTAAAGAAAAATCGGATTATTAACTTATACTCCCTCCGTCCCAATATTATTTTTAACGGACAAAAAACACACATATTAAAAAAAACATTAATTATCACTAACTTTATTTAATAAAATGACAGTTTTGTCCTTACTTTGCATTTAATGTTTCATTAAATGTTTAGTTTGTTAAGTAATAATGAGGGGTATTTTGGTAAAAATGTTATTTATTTTTAGAAGTGGACTATTATTTTGGGACAAACCAAAAAGAAAAGATGGACTATAATTTTAGGACGAAAGGAGTAGTATATTATGTTTTTTCTATAATTCACCTTATATTTTAAACACATCATATTCAAATATTGGACTATTAATCATTTTTCTTTCGAGTCCATTTCCAATATGATGTGAACGTTATGATGATTGCAATTACCCCCTCATTGTTTACTAGTCCTACATGAATAACCCCCAAGGAACAGCTACGATGAAAAAAAATCTTTTATTTTTAATAAATGAGTACAAAATTAAGTTTCTTAGGCCGACGCAACTATAAAGTTGGAAATGTCTCATACTTGTAAGGTTGTTTACTAGTTAAATTCAAAGAATTTGAATTAAACTATTTGATTAAGATATTTGGATAGGTTTTATAAAAACGGAACTATTAATTTGGATTTCAAATTGGTTTAGTTAATGATATAATAATTTCAAAAAACTAAATAACAATTATTTATCTTTTTATTTATATGTTTACTTGTAATATATATTTAGTTGCTTTTTTAATTTATTAGAATCATTTTTTAAATTAACTTTGAAAGAATGTCAAAAAACTTCAATCAATATAAATTTTAATTCACAAGTAAGTAATTTGCTTTTTTTTAGCTCACTGATGGCATAGAATGGATACTTTGTGGATTTTAGATTTGATAAATCAAGCTTATTAATATTAAAGTTATATGCGTTTTTTGAATGCAACAATTCTTGAAAATTGAATTGTAAAAACAAATCCAACTGAATTATATTTTGGTTAGTTATAATTAATTTAGTTTGGAATATTCGGATCAATGTTAACCAAATAATTTGAAATACATTTGATCATATCGGATCAAACATATCCGTTCAAACGAAAACCCAAACTTACTTGTATGCAGTTTTCAACCATATTTCATATTTTCTTCAGTTTAAACGACAAAAATATATTTTTATGTCTTTTTTTATGCATACGTGTGTTACTTTATCTTTTTAATAATTGATGTTATTAAAAAAATAAAAAATAAAATCTTTCAACAGCTCATTATCTGCTTCACAAAATTTGATTTTTTTGCTATAAAGAATTAGAATTGTAATTAAATTATCAAACAACAGACAATTGATTACGTGAGTATGTGACTTGAAAATGCATCCAAAAACCTTTTACATGATTTTCACTTGATACAACTTTATATTTCCATTTAGTATGGTAAAAGCCCACAAAACGACATATTAGTCCCCACGTAATCCATTTAACAATCTAAGAATCTATAATTAATGTCTTCGATATCAATCTAATTATAAACTATGTTATAAGGAGAAATAACTTTTAACCAAACTTTTTAATTATAAAATTACTAATATATTTGAAGCTTATATTATATTAGATGTCAAAGTCACACCACTAAACATCAATTAAATTAGGAGAGCATTTGATGTAACAACATGATACCATGTCATGAAGGAATTGACAAATTCACAAATATCAAAAATGTTAAAATCAATAGGGTACAAAAGTCAAAACATCAAATCATAAGGGGACCACTGTAACATTATGAAAACTACAGGGAGCAAATTCGAAAATAAAACTCTATCCCCTTCACTCCACAAATCCACGATCCACATCCACATGATCATCAAACCCGGAAAGTATAAGAACGGTCACCACCACCGCCATCCACCGTTACGCCGCCGTCAGATACTTCCACGAATAGCCACCATAGAAGTGTCACCTACCAGCATTTATCAAACAAACAATTCCCCTCATATACCTTAAAATGACGAAGAATCTATTCCGAAGAATTTGATTCCGTCCCGAAATGAACGACCCAATTGGAATTCTAGATCATGCCCCATTAGAATCATTAATCAATAACCACTAGCCTCCAAATTTGATTGCGTAAGCGCAATTTAATGACTCCTGCATCATCATCGGCATCAACAGCGCTGCCAGGTTGCAAACGAACCTCGCTACGAATCAACCCAAAAACTCTGCGGATTCCCGTATCGGGTTCATCTTGTCACATTAATCTACTCTTATCGATATCCAATTCCAAATGTCTTTTTAAGACCAATAGTAAGATGCGTATTCCCAAGACACTCACCCTTTCATTTTGCTTCTCATTTCTATACTCTTCCCCTTCTCGTTGTCCCCAATTTCCTTCTTTGGTTCCAGATTTAGGTCTCTGTTCTTCCAGGCGATTCTTCACTACGAAAAGGTCTCAAGGTTTGCTCGAATTTAATTCTTTTCAATTTAACTGTTACTATTTTGCTCCTTTTTTATAAATTTACTGTTGGCTTTTGAGTGTCACTTTTCATGCATGTTTCTTGGTTTAAATGCTGGACTATTTTGCGTTTATCGTCAACACGTTTAGACGATTGTTTATGATTCCTGCAGACAGTTGTTGGAATCTATTCATTAATATATTATTTCATCTCTTAGGAATTTTTTTTACTCTCACATGTTTCTCTTTCAAATTTCTTAAGCCCTCGTGGATTCTGATTCTATCTTCAATATAAGGACAGCTGTTGTTCCATTGCTTCAGAGTTTCATTCAATCTTTTTTTTCTCTTCCTTTTCTAGGGTTTAAATGTTCTAGCTTTGAATGTTACCTTGCATATGCCTATTTCTGTGTTCTTCCTTTGGACTTGTCCGGGTTTTTGGTTGATTGATCGAGTTTAGAAGGTTGTTTTTTTGGGATTTTAGGTGCTTATCAGAGCATATATGGAGAGTTTACACTTAAAGATTTGAGCATTTACAGATTTGCTTTGTGTTCTTTCATTGTTCATTGAAGGTATGTCCCCTAAGGTGTTTTTTTCTTTTTCTTTTTCTTTTTCTTTTTGTAAAGGGTATGTAAGAATCTTTACTTTCTTGAGTTTTTGGGGTTGATTCTTTTTCTTGATTGTTTTCTTGAAACACATCCCTTCTTGATCATCTCTACAGCATCATATAGAGCCTAAAAGTCATAAGTTACTAATAATTTACCTTTCCAGGAATGATATTAATATTATGATCCAATGTTTAATGATTTGTTATGTTTCTGTTTCAAAACAGGCTGTTTTCAATCAAGAGCAAGTTATAAAATGGATGTCCCTAGTGATGGAGCTATATCAGAGACACAATTACAGAGTCCTAATGGAAGTGAAAAATCTCAAGGTTCATGTCTATGGGCATCTCCTGATGGAGGCCAAAAGATTGAAATTGGCAAACATATTTTTTGTAACAGAGCTGTGAATATGAAAAACATAGTTGCTGTTGGATTTGATATGGATTATACACTTGCACAATACAAGCCTGAAACTTTTGAATCCCTTGCATATAATGGCACAGTGAAAAAGTTAGTCACTAACTTGGGATACCCTAATGAGGTTTGTTTATGTTAATCATACAAGATCTTGATGAAATTTGCACATGAAATTATTTAAATTGTACAAGTTTTAGGGTTAAATGCAAATTATAACCATGAAATTTGCATTCTACTTTCATTTTTTATCATTACAATGTTGAAAGTACAATGTCTTAATAAGAAAAAAACTGCTGTAGTCTATAAGTTTTGGATATCTTATAGTTTTCTATTTGATGCAGTTGCTTGATTGGTCTTTTGATTGGACTTACATGGTGAGAGGATTGGTACTTGATAAAAAAAGAGGAAATATATTGAAGGTTTGTGTTTTTCATGTATAAATTTTGAGCCATATCATATAAAGATGAATCCCAGTGTTTTATATTTTTTAAAAAACTTTTTTGCAGATGGACAGACATAAATATGTGAAAGTGGCATATCATGGATTTAGGTTATTGTCAAAAGATGAAAAAGTTGCTACATATGGCAACACTTTGGTTCGTGATGCATTTGATGAGCCTGATTATGCACTCATTGATACCCTTTTCTCATTGGCTGAAGCTTATTTATTTGCTCAGCTTGTTGACTTTAAGGATAATAATCCAGGAAAAATCTCAGAAGAAAAAGAGTAAGTTGTGGGAATTGGAATTCATGATTCCATTCCATTGTTTGTTTGTTTGTTTGGTTGCCAAATGAACAGAATTCAATTCAATTCAATTCCTTCAAATTCCATGTTGGATGTATTTCACCATGAATTCAATTTCATTTATTTTTGTACTAAAAGACCAAAATACCCTCATGTTTTTGCAGCTATTTTCGAATGTACAGAGATGTGAGGGCTGCTGTGGATCTCTGTCATCGTGATGGAACTTTGAAGCAGATGGTTGCAAATGATCCCAAAATGTCAGATAAAAAAAACCGACTTTCCCCCTTAAGTTCAAACTTTTTACAATTTTGCCCTTGGTTATTTTTTTCTTAACTTTGTCAAAATTAGGTACATCAATGAAGACAACTCATTAGTCCCAATGCTACAGATGCTTAGAAGTTCTGGTTTTGCTGTATTCTTAGTGACAAACAGGTTTATTTATTTATTTATTTATTTTTTACTTTTTAAATTGTAAAAAATGTAACAACATTGCTATTATCAGTAAAAAGTAACTTTTATTCATCTGATAACAGTCTTTGGGACTACACAAATGTTGTGATGAATTTTCTATGTGGGCCCCAAAAAGTCAACGGAAGCTCCTTGTTGACTCTTGACTGGCTCCAACACTTTGATGTTGTCATAACTGGCAGGTTATACTCATTTCTTTACTTTAAAGATTGTATATTTATAGTTTTTTTTTATGTTTATGAAACGTATTTAAAGAAAAAAAAAATATTTTTTATTTTTTTATTTTTTATGCAGTGCAAAGCCGAAGTTTTTCCAAGATGAAAACCGTGCTAATCTTTTTGCTGTGGACACTGATTCAGGGATGCTTATCAATACTGATAATGGTAGTCCTATGGCTCAGGTTTGTGTGGAAGTATGTTTTTACCAATTTACCCCTATATGCATATTTTAATTGAATTTTTATTTTCATTAGGTTGGAGCCTCTTCTGTGGAAGTGCCAGATCAGCAGATCCCAGATAAAGGGTACAAAGTGTTTCAGGTAAGTAATCAGTATAATATCCGAATTACATAAATACCCTTTTCATAATGACAAAAGAGTGTAATGATGAGAATGGGCAAATAGGTAATTTTAGTTTGAAATTACTATTTCAGGGAGGCAATGTTGGCCATCTGCATAAGCTACTGAGTGTTGAATCAAGTTCACAGGTTTTGTAACTTTTTTTATCAACAATTTTTTTTTTACAAAGTATACTTTATTTATTTTAAGTTAATAATTTTTGGAGAAAAGTTAACATGTTTGTTTCAACTTTGTTAGGTTCTTTATGTTGGAGATCATATATATGGTGATATTTTGCGTAGCAAAAAAGTCCTAGGTATAACTACTCTCTATACAACAAATGACATTGTACTTTCATTGATTTTTTTTTAATTATTAAATTATTATAGCATCTTAATTTTATCACTATAAATAATAATATTAATACAAAAATAAATGAAAGTAGGTTGCTATTTCTTGTGTTTAGCTAATTATATTGAGCAGGTTGGAGGACAATGCTTGTGGTTCCAGAACTTGAAAAGGAAGTTAAACTTCTTTGGTTCTTACGAGACACTCGTAAGGTAAACTAATATTTTTTTAAAGATTCTTTCTTTTTTATTTAGTATTATTTTATAAACTATTTATAATCATATCAATAACATATGCTTTTTTATGCAGCATCTTATATTGCTGAGGAGTGAGAGAGATCAAATTGAAGATCAAATCCATCATTTAAAATGGTCCCTCCAGTAAGAATTAACAAATCACCCTCTCTCTTTCTCTCTCTCTCTCTCTCTCTCTCTCTCTCTCTCACACACACACACACACTAAGTTACATGTGTGATTTGAGTTGTATTTGGTTGTAGGTGTGAGTGTATGGAAGCTAATGAAATGGAAAAGATGTCATCAAAGCTTGAATTGCTTGAGGTTGGTTACAGAAAAAAACCACAACATAAGTAGAGTATTATTTTGTATGTGATTGTGTTATCTTTAATCTTTTTATTAACCTTAAAATTTGATTTATGTGTATAGGCACAATGTGAACGTGTTCGTGTAACACATCAAGAGGCCCAAAAAGTTTTTCATGAAAAGGTAACAAAAATCCATTCAATTTTCTCGGCCCCCAAATTATTGTTTTATAACATGCATTCAATTTTCTTAGAAATGACTTTTTATTTACTTTTTTTTTTTTTTTGAAAGTTTCACACGGTGTGGGGCCAGCTAATGAAAACGGGGTATCAAAACTCACGATTTGCTCATCAAGTGGAACGATTTGCATGTCTTTACACAAGTCAAGTTGGGAATTTGGCCTTGTATTCTCCATCTAAATACTATAGGCCAAGTGAAGACTTTATGCCACATGAGTTTGACCTCCTTTCTCTCTGAAGTCTCAAGTCTCAAACTCAACAAATTTGCATATATTTTATGTTGTTTTACGTACAAGTTTTCCGTTTTTGCCCCCCTTAATTTGTAACTAGTCACATCTTGTTACTTACTGGGAAAGGTTATGGTATATATACAATACATACACTACACAAAAACTATTTTAACACGTTTTCCTTGTGGTTGGGTCAAGGTCTTTGATTAAACTCGTTACATATATGCAAGTGCTTATGTTTGAATGTTCGAATGTTTTTTATGAGATTTTATATGTAAATTCTGAAATTTCTACACGCAAACAAATTTAGTAGAGCTGTCAAAGGTATCCTACATTCTTTATTTCACTATTATTGTTATTATTATTATTATTTTCATTTAGATTTTGCGAATGTTTGGTTTCTTTTGTTAATGGGTCTAGTTAATATTGTACTTTTCTTTTGGTGGGTTTTGAGGTTAGATCAAAAATTATTTTATGTACAGATTCATTATGAAAATATACAATTGTTTGAACTAAACTTGTTAAGACCGTGATCTTATCTAGGATTGTTTTGAGTTTTGTAAGATTATCATGTATACCAGCCACACCAAGAGCGTGGTGGTGACATGTCATCAGCGTGGTGGCTATTGCCTCCATACGTGTGGTTTGTGTGTGGTGTGGGCAGGTGTGGTAGCCACAACTCACAACGCTTGAATTCTTCAAAAATGGTAGGTGTCATGTTTGATCAATAAGCTGATATTAGAAGACTAGAATTAGAATAACCAGGGATCCTGCAATTGCATATGGACTTTTGTACAAGATTATTTTGACGATACATGTGTGTATGAACATGTCATTCAAACAACATTTTTGTTTGACTAGAGGTAGACAAGGTTTTACTCCACTACAAAAATGTATGACCACACTTCGGCTTTTGGCACAAGGCACTACCATGGACACATCAAATGAACGTATGAATATGCCTGAGAGAACCACACGAGAATTGGTGTATTTGCTTTTTGAATATGTTATAAAGCTTTACAAGAACATATATCTGCAAAAACCGACAAAAAGTGATGTTGAAGAATGGTATGTTGCACATAAAGCAGCACACGAGTTCCATTAATGCTTGGAAGCAATGCACGACGATGTCAACACACACAAGGTGACCATGGAATCCCGACGATTATACTTGAAGCAATGACGTTACAAGATTTATGGTTTTGGTGTGAATACTTTGGTATGGTGGGGCCAAACAATGATCTTAATGTTCTTCGTAAGATGTCAAGATTCAATGATATTTTGCTGGGAAAAGCACATGACTTTCCATTTGTTATGAATGGAAATCAATACAAGAATGGGTATTACATTTCTAATGGGATATATATGAATTACTCTACATTTGTCAAAGCATACTTATATCCTCACGATGAAAAACAAAAACTGTTCAATGTAGCGCAATAATCGACAATGAATGATGTAGAACGGGCTTTTGAAATCCTTTAGAGAAAGTGACACATAATAAAACACTCGAAACGAGCATGGGATCAGGAAAAGTTAACATGCTAACCAAGGTAATATATGCTTGTATCATACTTACATAACATGGTAACAGAAGATAAAGATTACACTATTTTGTATGTATAATCCGCATGATACATTTCATAAAAATTAACAAATTGTATCGGGGAGCCCGTAATACTTCTCGAGAGTTTTGGAAACACATAACAAATAAACGCACAACAATATTCACCATGATTTGACGGACTATATATACGAACATGCAATGACGATGAGGACACCGGCAACAATGAACAATAGTTTTATTATGTAATGTTTAACTTGTAATTTTTATAATATAATTTTAAATTTTCTAAATTAATGTGACTTTTTTATTTTAATTTAATGTTATATTTTTAATTTCAATTAATTTTAGTTTTCTTAAATAATTAAAAAAATGATATGGTGATGTGGAGTGGTGAGTATTTACTAAGTAAGTGGTGATGATATGATTTGTTTCATTACGGATGTGTTCGGCCGCGAACTTTTGAGTACATTTATCTTGTAACTTTTGAGACAGAAACTTGAATTTTTTTAAAAAATATATATTTTTTTGTTAGCTCGAGCTTAAAGCTTTTATTATAAACAAAAACTTGTAAGCTTTTGGCTTTTCAGAGTTTCTCCACACACATTGTTTAACGCCAAAATCATGTTTAAATTCCAATCAACCTCTAAAATGATGGGTTTTAGAAACTTTTATATTTTGCCTTCATATTTCGTGTTAAAAAGAAGGCAACAAAAAAATTATGCTAAATTTGTCTGCCGATTGAAGTATTCTTGGCCAACAAAACATAAAAATAATGTAATATGTTGGATGGTTAGAGTTAGCCTTAGAACTTTTAACTTTTAGCATTTTATATCCTTTTAGCTTTTTAACTTTTAACTTTTAGCATTTTATATGTTGGATGGTTAGTTTGTCGAACACTCTTACACAAATAAAGATTAGTTTCCGACTACCAGTTAGTTTTGTCAGAATGTTGTTTTAGTTACTTTATGTGTTAAGTCATTAAAAACTCAAAATTTTAATGAATTTTCTGTTGACCGAGTTCTGATACAACAAAATTTGGCAATGACCAACAAAGCTTTGAAAAAATTATTTGGTGATCAAATGCTTCAGTTAGCAACTCCGTGTAAAAATTGGGGTGGATGGATATTATTTATTTGTTTCTGCTGTTCTGCATAGTGCATACAATACAACAAGGATATTTTTGAGCTTGATATAATATAAATTACAAAATTATAAAAAAGATATATAATTATAACCTCCTCCAAGTTTGAATTAGGATCATCTAAACGAAGACTGAATCTCTTCCAATGTTTTCCCCTTGGTCTCCGGTACCAAAAGGGCCACAAATACAACCGTTATACCACTCGTAATCATGTAAAGAGTAAACGTTCCTGTCACAACCCAATATTCACACATTACATAACACTCCCTTTAACAGACTAAACAAAACAGGTTGTACTGTGTCTGGTATGTATACATTTATGAGACATCAAAAGGCTGTAATTTTTGTCTCGTAGTTTCATTTTTATCAGTCTAATGCATGTAAAACACAGTAGTAAAAGGTGTTATGTGGTGTGTGTAGTGTAAAAGGAGAACGAAAGAAAGGAGAATGAAACCTCCACTACTCCAAGCTAAAAGCAAAGGTGCCGTCAATGTAACGACCCAACAGATAAACCAATTGGCTAATGTTGCTACACTACCCGCAAGTCCTTTTATATTCACCGCTAGTATCTATAATGTTATCTCACAAAAACAACAATCACATTAATCATATTTCCACACACACACACAATAATAATAATAATAAATAATTAACTTTAATTACCTCCGACATAATAATCCATGGAATCGGCCCCATTCCAAGAGAAAAACCAATGATCATGCCCTACAAATTTTTTTAATTAAATTCACAAAGAAATTTTCAGCAAAAAAAAAAAAAAGAATAAAAATCGTTACACTACTACATCAAATAAAGTAAAATAAAATAAAAACGTACCACAACTCCAATCAATGATAAAATGCCCATTACAGTATACGTGGTGGAACCATCATCTGCAAAACCCTAAAATGTTGCTTTTGATTATTAGTTAAAAGGATATTCATACATAAGGAAAATACAATTTTTCTTCTTTTTTTTTTTTTAAAAAAAAAAAGGGAAAATAATGTACATTCATTTATCTGTTTATTATAGCATCCTACTTTCATTTTTTTTTATCACAACACTATAAGAAATACATGATTACCTTAATGAAGAATGATGCTGCAACGACTATGAGACTGAGAGTCATAGTAGAAGAAGAGACCTACATAAAATTGGGTTTTTTATTTTATTTTATTTTTAAGTAAGTTAAAAAAAAAAATTAAAATCATAGCATATATATATATATATATATATATATATATATATATATATATATATATAATTATTTATCCTTACAATAAGCAAAATCCTGCGGCCTGTTTTGTCAACCAACCATGTCGAAACCCCAGTTGCAATCACCTGAATTGTGCAATCTTCTTGGTTACAACTTATTGAAAAAAAAAAAAAAAACTAGAAATTATAAAATAACATAATATGAAATTGGCGAAGATAAAACATTTATGAGTTTACTTGGATAGCTCCTAGCCCGAATGTCGCAACATTACTATTAGATATTCCTGTTTCATTTAAAAAAGTAAGGTGCTGTTTATTTTATTTTATTAATTTTTTTTTTCACTACATCCACTAAAGTGTTGAAAATTTACCTGCAGATTCGAATATGGTACTGGAATAGAAGAGAACACCATTGGTTCCAGTTAGCTGTTGGAGGACAAGTAAGCCAAATACTATCTGCAGAATATTAAGGATTAGAGTTTTCCATAATCTCATATAAATAAAAACTGAAATTATATTGAAAATAAAACATGTATAGAAAATTACAACTACATACCATTAAAGGAAACCAATATCTTCTTTGTTTGAGGTCTGAAAAACGAATTGCAGCTCTTCTGTTTGATGATGCCACAGACCTCTTCAAAACCAAAGTAGACATATATCATATATGTTATATGTATATGTATGTACGTATGCATGTGGGAATGTATGTACCTTAATTTCATTCACTTCTTGGGTAATATCAGTATCAAAACCACGAAGAACTTGTAAAGAAGCTTCAAAATCATCTGTCATTCCCATTTTTGCCTGAAACAATGGAGACATCATAATTACTAAATATTATTATATTAATAAAATTCAACCAATAGTCATGAGATAGAATACAACAATGAACACTTCAGTAAGCTTACCAACCACCTAGGAGATTCAGGGATGAAAAAGAGGCCAGGTATCAAAATTAAGCAAGGTAATGTTCCTACAAAATAAAATATGAAAATTGTCATTTTGGTCATAACTTTATTCTAATTTTTACTTTATTAGATGAATGTCACTAAACTGTTACCCAAAATTGCAAGTACTCTCCAATGAACAAAAAGTCCCAACAAATAAGCCAGCATAATTCCAATTGTCACAGATAGCTACAAAAAATAAAAAATGGAAAGTAATTTTATCATATGATTGAATTATAAAACTACAAATTCACAATTCTAAATAGTGTTTACCTGGTTGACAGAACCTAGTCCCCCTCTCATGTTTTGAGGTGCTATTTCAGCTATATATACAGGAACCTTTGTAATACAATACACC